CTCGCTCTTGCTCAGGCTGGTTTCAAACTCCTGACCTTGAGCAATCCGCCCGCCTCAGCCTCCCAGAGAGCTAGGATTACAGGTGTGAGCCACTGCCCCAGGCTGATGTCCAACTTTTCAATACCAGCAATGGAAGCCAGTGAAACACAGATATGCAACGGGTCCAAAGTGGAATAAACTTATTGCTCGTGTTCACTCTGAAATGAGCATTTTTAACCAACAGTCACTCTCCTTCAACCAGGAATCTCAACACGCGGTACCCAAGGTTGCCAGCTCAAGATGGTAGGGAAAAGAACAGGCTGTCTGGCTCTGGGGGCCGGAACAAAGGAGGCACCTGTGGCATGTGCCCCATTTCTGCCAGCTGGAGCCCTGCACATGTGGGCACAAACTGCAAGGCAGGCTGGGAAACACAGCTTATCTATGTGCCTGGCAAGAAGAAGACATATGTTTGACCACCTGGTGGCCAGTCAGGGTTGGCAAAGGCACAGAGGTGAGAAGATGCCCTTAGTTCCTACACAGATGACCACAGTCTCCATGACACCCGAGAATCTAGTGGGGAGGGGTATAGTGTGCTGGAAGCAGGTGGCATCTGCCTACAGGTGAGTTTGTGGTCAGGATGAAATCATGCGTTTGTTCCTCCAAGTAAACCTGACTGACCATTGACCTCACGTCACGCCCCCTCCAGGGGTAACCTGGCCAGGTTGATGGCTCAGCAAGGAAGACAGCTATAGAACTATAGAAGCACAACATGCTCCACTCAGAGTCCCTTTTGCTCGTCAGCTTCCCTCAGGGGCAGCTCAGACAGTCCTGCCTTCTTGCTGCAGGAAGGTTTCTGGTCTACTTCTTACGTGGTTTTTCCTCTGCTGGTTTGTTTCCTGAGGTTTATTGGAGTGGAACAAGAGCTCGGGGAGGCCGAGAACTACTGCCTGCTTTGAGCGCTGCTGAACCTTCCTCCCTGTCCTCACAACAGTTCCCGGGGCACAAACACCTCTGCTCTGCCGTCCCAAGCAGGCAGGCCAGCAGGGACAGATCACGCCTCCCTTCTTGTCCCCACACAGCCAACCTCCCAGTCTCTCCCAACACAAGGCGACACCACCGATCCGGGTCTTTATCAGTCCTTGGCTTCTTACCTCAACAGTTTACTTCATATCAATTAAGTTTTTGGTTATTTTCTAAACGTTATAAAATATGTCGCATGGTATACGTCATCTTCTGACATTCGCCCTTTTCCATTCACGGTTCCACAATTAGTCCTTATGTTGGAGGTCACCCTTATTCTGGGTACCTGTGATAATTCATTTCTATCCCCGTGAAAATTGATTTTGTGAATATGCTACATTTTAAAAGACATTCTTCTGATCACAGGCATTTTGGCTGTTGTTTCCTCCACTTTTCTTTTGCTGTTGCACACACCACAGTCCTCAACACATGTCCCCAGGGATGGACTCCTGACATGAAAGGGTGTGTTAGCAGCCACTGCTCAGAGGAGGGCTGCTGCTTTCTGAAGTAGTCCTACCAACCTACAGTGCTCCGGCTGTGACCAGGGCACCCGGGCTGCAGTCGGCACAGAGGCTCATGTGGACAGCGACTTCTGCCCCGGGCGGCGGGAAGTCAGCCTTGAGGAAGGTGGTTGGCTCAGGGCTGATGTGTGGGCTGCCTCCCAGAGACCAGCGAAAGGAAACTGAGACATTTTCAAAATGTTGTGGGTGCAGGCTTAGTACAGGTAGGGTCACCAAGGACCAGGATGATCATGACTCACGGACTCAGGAAGGTAGACGGCTCTGCTGCAGGCCAGAGGGGTGGCCCAGCTTGTTCACAGAGGGGACTGGTCTGCCCCTCAGCTAGTGGTCCCCTCTCTTCCACCGTGGCCCTTGGGGACAACCAGCACGTTCCAGGAGAGCTTGCTCTGGTCTTCCCCTTCAGGCCTGCTCTGCACGCAGCTCTGGCACAGCCACACCCACGGGAGGGTGAGCCTGAGCGTGGGGCAGCTTTGCAGCCCCCAGTGCCCTCCACCTGCCCCTCTGCTCCCTCTGGGGATGGCAGGGCCCTCACCATGCAGCTCTGAGCCAGAGGAGAGGTCCCAGCTCAGCCTTGTCAGCCCATTTCCTCCCCAGGAGGCGCACTCTAGGGAGGGCTGGCCAGAGCTGTGGGCCGGGAGAGGGGCAAGGTGGTGAGGTGGGCAGCAGGGGCCTTGGGAGCCACCTTATCACCTCATAGGCACAGTAACGGACGGAGCATTGTGAGAAGTGGTTTCTGGGACCTGCTTCAGGGTTTCCAGCTCAGGGGATCTGGGAAGCCAGAGGGTTCAGAGCAAATCCAGGGCGACTTGTGCCAGTGCCTCCAGGTCTTAGCTGTGCCCCACAGTTCCCTTGGGAACGCCGGCCTGTGGCCCCAGCCTCCTTGCAGGTAGGCTGAGTAGGGACACGAAACCTGGCACATGGCTCAGAATCCCCCAGAACAGACCAGAACCAACTGAGACGGTGCGACGGGGGCAGGGTGGGTGTCCAGTGAGCCAGGCTGATTGCACCACCACCCCAAGGACACAGCGGAAAGCCAGCCCGGATCGTCGTGCCAAGGACAGCTCTGACTCCATTTTGGGCACAGGCACACAGGAAACATGTCGTCCATCACTAGTGGCTGAAGGGCCAGGCATGCTGACGCATCTGGAGCTTCCTGAAGGAGGGTGGGGAGTGGGGAAGTGATCAAAGTAAAATGCCAAACAACCAGCAGATCACAGCCCTCCCCTGCTACAGCCTACGTAGCACCCTCCCTCTGGCCTGCACCAGCCCTCCCAGCCCAGCCTTCGGTCACCTTGCCGCCCACTCCCGCCAGGGACTGCCCTGTCCCCTCAGAGTGGAAGCCCCTTTCTTTCCAACTGCACAAGGAGCAGCCTCCTCCTTCCCCTGCAGGTCCAGCTGAAATTCCCCTCCCCAGCTCCTTCTCCACGCAGCCCAGCCCGAAGCCACCCGCAGGGCCTTCCCCTCCAGCGGTAACGAATCAATGTGGGGGCTGACAGAATACAGGAAACGTGGAGGCACAGTAAAAATACACCTCAAGGCCAACCTCCTATGACCACAGCCAAAATTTAAGTCATCCGATTTCCCCACAACACTGGCTCTACTCATAAACAAAAGGCAAAATGTAAGTTTTTGATGTGGCCTTGTCAGCCCATTCTCTTGAAATGAAGCCGATCAGCTGCACACCAGGGGGCTCAAACCGCTCTACTTGCCCTATGAAGAATCTGCGGTGGGACAGCCAATGACAAAATGATCAATACCTCCTCCCTGATGCTTTCAAGCTGTGGCTGCAGTAAGGTGGCATCTTCCCAGGGGACTGGACCTCTCCAGATGGCGATCTGCACTTTCTCTTATTGTGTCACAACGAACACTTGCATTTCCCTAGCTTGGTCTTGTTGGCTGTTGGACCTGCGAGATGATTGGATTCGCGCACACACACACTGCAATGCTTGTGAGTAGCCGTGCCAGGGGACTCTGCCTTCCCATGTAGTTTGTGGCTCCCCCCTGCCCAGACCACGATCACGACCAGCTGTGTGTCACCATTTACCTCTGGCTGAGCATGTCTGTGCAGGGCTCTGCCTGCATTAGCATTCCCAGGGCCCATCCCCAGGGCATCAGGAGCCCTGTTGTCCTCCCCTGGCAGGTGCCTGCCACAGGTAGATGTGGAGTATGTGTCTTTCCAAGGTGTGGCTGAAAGGCAGTGCCAGGTGAGTCCAGCCTATTCCTCAAAGGGACAGCAGAGGCAGGGGCCAGGTAGGGTGTGGCCATGCATGTTCCCATGTCTGGGGTCCAGGCCAAGGGCTCCTCAGTCTTTGGTTGCCCCACAGGTGTCTCCTTTAAGCTCTGACTTCAGAGGGTGGCAGTTAGTGGCAAGAAGAGCTGAGGCAGACCCTAGCAGAACAGAACTGAGCTCTTCCTGGTCTTTGCAACAAGGAAAGGCCACAGTGCCCTGGCAGATGGGGAGAGACAGCAGGGGGTGCAGCCGACCTGGAGCTGGGCCTTCTCAACCCCACGCTGGGTTCTGGGGCCCAGGCTTGGAGGGCGCAGCTGAAGAGAGATGAGGAGTGAGGGTTCCAGGTTCCCTGCCACCCTCTGTGGGACTTGAGGACTGCTATAGGCTTTGCAGAGACAACACAAGAACCAAACTACAAACCCACCCTCCTAGGGACAGCCCTAACCCTGTGTTGCCAAAGAGAGTTCACAGGACAGTGGGGCCCCTGACAGCGCCCCCAACTCAGACTCTATGGCCTCTCATTGCTCTGAGCTATGAATCTGAGCATTGGGCCATGTGCTGTAGGATGAAAAGGGGATGTGAGCAGTCGGCACAGACCCTACACAGGCAAGGATAGACCAGGGCAAGAGCACTCTCGCCTTTCAGCCCGAGCTGCCTCCCAGCACCCCCAGCCCCTCCAGGCCAATGTCTCCTGGCCGTGGCCTGCTGCTTAGCTGGACCAGCAAGGCCATCCAGGACTGGATCTGGGACACGCAGGGAACCTCAAGGCCAGCCAAGATCAGGCCTGGGACAAGCCATGAACCTCCCACATTGTACCCCTGTACTCACTGAATTGTCCCCAGGGCTGAGCCCCTCATGGTGATGGTGCCTGCTTCATGCCTCCACTGCACACATCCGACATAAGGCTTAGAGAAGAGCACACGGCTCCACGAGTGGGTTAATCCAATGAACTTGCAAACTCCTCTTTCCTTGCTCCTGCCCGGGATCTTGCAAGGAGATGAATAATCCAAGGATCTTTGATAAGATAAGAGCCCCATCCCCTGTTTCCCAGCAGTGGAGGAGGAGGGAGCGGCCTCTTCGCCAGATCCACCCCTGTGCACCCCCAATCTAGACCTCACTCTGGCCCTGACCTATGCCCTGGGTTTCTCAGGCAGATCCAGGGACAGTTTCTTCCATGACGTGATCCATCTGCCAGTGCAGGTCTCCAGGAGAGATAAAAGGATTCGGGCACAGGGTAGAGGAGCATCGGAATGGCATTCAGGGCAAAGGCAGGCGTGTGGATGGCAGGGCCCTGGCTGTCTCTGCAAGGGCCACGGGCACTGGCCACCAGAGCCTCTCTGGCGCCCAAGGCGGTGCTGCCCTTCGAAGCCATACCCCAGAGTCGCCACAACAACTGGATGAGGACGCTGCAGTTCTGGAAGGGGCAGGGCTATGAGAACCTTCACCTGGAGATGCATCAGAACTTCCAGGAGCTGGGGCCCATTTTCAGGTGAAGCCCTCCCTACCCCTCACTGAGAACACCCAGAGTCCTCTGCGGCTGCGGGCTGCCAAGGCCCTTACCTGGCACACAGCACTGCCATTGCCCAGCTGGGCCCCGGTGCTCTGTATCCTTTGGAAGACAGGGAGGGAGTGCAGTGGGCGCTGGTCAGTGTCTTTGCACATGAACAACATTGTTCTTCACGACGGGGGAGCAAACCACGGCTCTTGCCAAGAACCCAGAGCACAGAAGCACTGAAGTTGTCGAGGTTGCAAGTAGACGGCAGAAGGACTTCCTGCCATGAAACCACTGGGCCAGGAGAAGGGAGAGGTCAGATAAGGGACTGGTTTTGCAGAGCGGGGCCCAGGGGAGGACATGGCTGTGGCCAGCAGGACTTAGTGCTTTGTCCCACAGGTATGACACAGGAGGAACACGAACGGTATCTGTGATGGACGTGGAGAGGCTGCAGGAGGTGGAGAGTCTGCACCCACGCCGGATGCTCGTGGAGCCCTGGCTGGCCTACAGACAACACCGGGGGCACAAATGTGGCGTGTTCTTGCTGTGAGAGGCGAGCTGGGATGGGGGGATGGGCAGCCTGGACACAGAGAGGAGGCAAGACAGAGAGGCCCCAAATCACCCCTGCCTGGGGCCTCAGGGTGACTGCCAAGTGCTGAGGAGCGGCCCATGGGATCCCCTATGCCCAGTGCTGGGGGAAGCAGGGCAGTGGCAGAGACATGCACAGGGCACTTTGCACATGAGAGGAGGGAGAACGGTGAGTTCTTGCATTAGGAAGCGCCCACTGCACAGCCTTGGTGGCTGCTTGCTCAGGAGCAAAGCACTGGGTGGGACCATTGCCCTGGAGGGTGTCTCATGACCCATTGACTGCGCAGCACCCCTGGTTGGGTACCAGGGAGAAGTCCTTGCTTGGCGGTAGTCAGCTGCCTACAGTGTGCCCTGAGGACAGGAGGAGGTTCTGAAGGAGGGATGACAGACTGTTGACAGCCACCACACTCCCTGTGGGGAAGTGGATTCTCTTGGGAATAGTGGAGCTTAGGCAAATAGGCACCCCTGGGGGCATCTGGGAGGGAGTCAGGACCCAGGAATGACAATTCCTGGAGAAGGCTGGGAAGGGTACATGTGCATATCTGAAGTAAGGGGTGCGCTTGTGTGTGTGTGCGTGCACGTGTGCATGTCCATGGGTTTGTATGTGGGTGCATGTGTGCATGTCTGTGCGTGAGTGTGCATGTGTATATGTATGCTGCTTGTGTACACATGTGTTTGCACATGCATTTGCAGCCATATATATTGTATGGGCTTGTGTGTTTTTGTGTTCACATTTGGAAGCATGTTATGTATGTTTGTGAGTTTGTGATTTGTGCATATATATGTGTTTGCACACACGTATTGTCTATATACACGCATGTATGTGTGAATATGCACATGCATATTTCGAATACCAGTGTCATTGTCAATCCCTACAAGCTGATGACCATAGAAAAATCAAGGTGCTTTTGCATGAATGTGGCTGAGGGCAACTTCCTGCCCAACATTCCCTGGAGGACATCCATCAGCCCCCTTGTGCTCTGGCTCTGTCTTGAGGGTATTCTGGAGATACAGTTTGGTGTCTGCCCTACAGAAGATGGAGACACTTCACAGAAACAGGCAGATGCTATGGGCACAGAGGCAGCACGCTCAGGATGGGGAAGAGTTGGGAGATGAGAGGTCAGGCAGGGCTGGTCCCCTTTGGGGCATGGTGTGTGTGACAGGGGCAACGCGTGACAGGAGGGGCAACCTCCTGCCCTGGAGAAAAGACCTTCCCATCCAGGGAGGGCACGTGGGTGACCTGTGTGCCAGGACCGGGCATAGAAGTTCACTGGAATGAACTCCATGAACACCTGCAGCACGTTCAGGCAGAAGCCACTGTCTCATCCCCAGTTTAGCCTTGAGTGCCCTGCTTGCCAGCACCCGCAGGCTGCTCTGACTTTATCATAGCCATCACTGCTGTCTTTGGTTACTATTGCATGAAATACCTTTTTCTATACATGCATTTTCAACCTTTAGTTATCTGTACCCAAAATGAGTCTCCTGCAGACAGCATATATTTGAATCATGGGGTTTTAAATCTATTTACCAATGTCTATTTTTTGATTGAAGAATTTAATCCATTTACATTTAAAGTAAATTGTAATAAGGACAGACTTTTTTCTTTGATTTTCATATTTCTTCTATATGCCTTTTAGCTTTTTTGTTCCTCATTTCTGCATTAGTCTTATTTTGCATTTACTTAATTTTTTGTAGTGAAACATTTAAATTCCTTTAGTGTTTCCTTTTGTGTATATCCTTTAGCGATTTTATTTGTGGTTACCATAGGGATTTTCATTAACATTGTTTAATTATAACACTCGCAATTGAATTTATGCTAGCTTAACTTCAGTAATATACAAAAACTGCTCTTTTATGGTTCTGTCCCCACCCCTTTCAGTTGCTGATGACAAACTATTACCTCTTTATACATTGTGTGACCCAAACATAAACTAAATGTTTTAAATTAATTAATTTCTTAAATTATGTAGAAAAAAATTGTGAACTTATAAACCAAAGATACAATAACAGTGGCTTTTAGACTAATTTTGCTTGTCAAATGTATTAAATTCTTATATCATGTATATATAAAAAACTGTAGTGACACACCATTGCTACAATAATATTAGCTTTCATAATTGTTCATTCATTTACATTTACTGAGTTGTCTATTTCGTCATACAATTTGGGTTACTGGGTCCCGGTCCAGGCTGCAGGGGGTGGGGGGTGGATGGGGACTCTGGTCCAGGCTGCAGGTGGTGGGATGGGGGGCCCTGGTTCCCGTTGCAGGTGGGGAGAGGTGGGGACTCTGGTCCTGGCTGGCTCCTGTGCACTGTGTGGTCGGCCCCACCTTCAGATGACAGGGAGGACAGGGACAGGGCTGCTACTCTGGAGAGCCACAGGCTCCTTGGGCGTGGCTGACAGATGCTCAGGTGACACCTGGAGCAGACAGAGGGAAGGAGCAACGGACACTCTGTGGAGACCCCAGGCCAAGAGGGAACTTGGTTTTGATAGAGGGCAAGGGTGACCTGGGAAGCCTTCCTGGAGTGGGAGGCCCTGGAGCTGGGCCTAGTTGCATGGATTCCTGTTTGTAGTCTGGGGAACACAAAATGGGGCAGAAGGTGCAGCACAGCAGAGGCAAAAACACCTTGTGCAGGCCATGAGGACCCAGGAGCTGTGACCGGCATGCCAGTGAGTGGGGAAGCCAGAAACACTGTCCTGGTGTGGAGGCTGTGCTGCCTGGAAAGGCATCGCTGTGCCAGGGCTCAGGGGTGGAGGCCCTGGGAGGGGTGCTTTGTAGGGAGTGTCCTGTGGGGATGTCCTTGTGGGTGTCCTGTAGGACTGTCCTATGAGACTGTCCTGTGCAGAGTGTTCTGTGGGACTGTTCTGTGGGGGTGTCCCCCGGAGAGTGTCCTGCGGGGGTGTCCTGTGTGGGTGCCCTGGGTGAAGCACACTCGCTCTGACTCCAGAGTCAGTACCTGCTCAGTGGGGTAGCTGCACCTTCCACACACACAGCAGCCGATGTCAAAGCCATTCGTCTTCTCCGGGGGGGGGGCACTTGAAGCTGAACCCCAGGCAGCAAATAGTCTGGCTCAGACCCTCACAGCCCCCCTTCCTGGCTCAGAGGCTATGATTCTCAGGCTGCAGGGCCTCAAGAGAAATAAGGCTGTCTGTTCCTGGCCCCCTGCCTGCAACTGAGTCCCCACTCGGGACGGGGGCCAGGGAGCCACTCCTAGGCTACTCTGAGTAAGGACGTACAGTACCTCAGTTTCCCCAGGAGTGTCCTGACAGTCCCCTGACCTTGGGCTGTAAAGAGAGGGGACACGATCACACTTGTTAGGTTCTTGGAGCGGTGGCCAGCTCCTGCTGGCTGCTATCTGAGAATTGACACTATAGGTGTGAACCTCTCAGAAAAGCTAAGCCCTGGAGTACACAGTCATGCCAGGCTGGTGTCCCCATGTCCTGACCCAGCCTAACCCTAACCCTCTTCTCCCACTGGGGAGGGAGGAACTGGAGTGGATGCCCTAGTTTGGGACTTCTGGGCACCGGTTCCCCTTGCAGCTATTCTGATTGTGATGCCTCAGGCCAACCTGACCTGTGCCCTGTGTCCTGGGGCAGCCCGGGCCCTTGCCCATGGCCCCTCCATCTGTCTGTCCAGACCCCCCTTGTGGGCCCCTTCTCAAGCTGGAGCTGCTCCCCAAGGACTCCTGCCCCTCCCCTCCCCATGCATGTGGCCACCCCACTCTCAGGGGAAGCCTAATTATTCTGGAGATGGTAATTATACAGTTGTTAATCACAGACTCTGCCACACACACCCCCCACACACACCTGTAAAGCCAGGTCATCAAGGTCAGGGCAGAGCTGCTCTAGAAGGGGGTGACCAACTCATCCTGGCTTGCCCAGAACTTTCTTGTTATTAGCACTGAGAGTCCCACACTTCAGGAATCTCCTCTGTCCTGGGAAATAGAGGATGGTTTGTCACCCTGTCTGGAGCCCAGGTCCCAGTGCCTGGCCAAGAAGCTCTGTGGCCTCAAGACTCACATGGGGCTTTTCACCCCCCACAAGAGCCAGAAAGACACCGGAAAGAGGTCTCCACACTACCTGGCAGGACAGGGAGGTGCCACAAAGTCCACCTCTCTTCCTACAGGCCTCTGTTCAGGCTGACACCCCAGATGGGCACCCCAAGCTCCTCAGCCGGAGCCAGCCCCTGCAGTCCCAGCCCAGTGCCTGCCTCTCCTGGTCCCTCCCGGGGAGTGGCCGGTGGTCTTACCCAGGGCAGCACACAGAGCAGCCAGGAGCAGCAGCACCAGGAGAGGCCTCATCATGGGATGTCCACCAGCGACTGGGGACCCACCAGTGCGGGGGTGCCTTTATATGGCGACAGCCTGACTAGGACCAGACCTGGTAATTTATCTGGAGGATGAGCTGGGGAGAGCATGGCTGGCCTGACTCATGCCTGGACCTCCCTCTGCCCTCCCCCAGGGCCCCAGAGCTCTCAGAGGTGCCCTGTGTCCCCTCTCGCCTGTCCCTTGGTCTGAGCCACAGGCCTACCTCCCTGCACGTACCAAGAGGCCCCAGTAGGGCCAGGGGAAGAAAGGTGGTTGGTGGGTGACAGCCCTGTCCTGGGTCCTGGGAGTCCTCAGAGGGCCATGGCTTGGCTCCGTGGTCTGAGGAAACCGGCCCGCCCACAGCTCTTCTCAGTGTGCACAGCCATGTCCCCTCTGCCCTGCCCAGTGCACCAGGGCGGGGAGGGAGGTGCCAAACCCATTCTAAGGGGAACTGGGGCACTGTAGGCTGAAAGAGGGCTTTGGACCTGCACCCCTTAATCTTCAGTGTTGTGATCCCCTGGGCATCTGCTTACAACGCTGATGCTGCCTGAGGACGCTCTGCTTTCCTGGTGCTCTTGGACCAGGCCAGAGCCAGAGGTGAACAGGGGCAGCTCTGGCCCCGTCTGAGTCACTGTCCATCTGGCGCCAGACCAGG